CAGTCACTAGTAAAGTGGGTATGACAGCCATTTTGCATCTTATTATAAGAACTGTTGGATTCTGGGCACCTTGTTCCAACAAAAGCTGTGAGGAGAGTTTTTTTTTAGAAGCTGACCATCCAACAAGAAGATATTTTGAAGTATATTGATATCTTTAAAAACAGCAGTTAGGATTTTTGTTGCATTCAACACCATTGAATAGAGAACAGCAATTTCTTCCATTGTTCAAAAAGATTGTATTTGTCTGTTTTATTTTTTAGAATGGAGAGTGATGGAGAGCAGACACTGCCTGCTTCTCTGAGGAAATGTAAGTCTATATATCGTATCTATACAAACTGCACTTTCTCCACTTTATGCCTAAGGATGGGGTGATGGTTGGGAGTTGACAAGCTGTACAGCCCTAAAAACAAAGGTTGCTCTTCTCCTCTGAGTCCTGCCTCCAGGACAGCAGAGCCGACGTCCTGAGGGGAGCCAATCAAACGCTGGGAACAGAGCATGTGAGGAGTCCTGGAGGATCCTGCTCACTGTCCTCGGTGTCTGCTGCTCAGATAGGGTGTAGAGTGCTCTGAGTGGGAATCCCATCATTTTAGAGCAGACCTTGAAGGTGCTATGCAGATGGGTGACGTGATACCAGCAAATTCTAGAAAATATAATGACACTGTCAATGAAGGAGAAGTAAAATGTCTTTAGGATGTTCCTGCTGACACCAAAAGTGTTTAGCTTCTTGAGCAGATACTGCCGCTGCTGGCATTTTCTGTGGATCTCCTCACTTTTTGAGGCAAATTTCAATGCGTTGTCAAAAATTGTTCCCAGGTATTTGTATTCATCCACTATCTTGTGATATCTCTGATTGTGATTGGGATTCATATGGCTGTCCTGTGCCTGTAGTCTGTCTCTGTTGTGTGGATGGGTTACAGCAGCTTTGACTTCCCTTTTTAGTACACACACAGAATGGAGAGCTGGCAGGCGGCAAAGAGATATGCACTGAACTTGGCAAAATCCCTTTAACTTAGTTTGTGGTGTACCATCAAGAAAGTTGAGATAAGCACCAAATCTGTAATTGAGATGTGATTCACTCCCAGATCTAAAATAACAAGATATCATCAGCATGTGTCTTCTGGAACCCTTTAAACAGTCACTCTGCTTAAAGATCAACAAATGATAAACCTGTGAGTTGCATTAGATAATAAACTGTTTCTTTATTGTCTGTTCTTTCTTCATCAGATGCCTGTGAAGTCACTCTGAACCCAAACTCAGCACACAGAAACCTCAAACTGTCTGACAACAACAAAAGAGTGGAAGCAGTGATCCAGCAGCAGCCGTATCCTGATCATCAAGAAAGATTTGAGAACTCCTTTCAGCTACTGTGTAGAAACGGCCTGACTGGTCGCTGTTATTGGGAGGTCGAGTGGAGTGGAAGTGTTGATATAGCAGTGGCCTACAGAGGGATCAGGAGGAAGGGATACACCAGGGAGTCCAAGTTTGGAGGCAACGATCAGTCCTGGTGTCTGAGCTGCTCTGATGATTGTTACTCTGTCTGGCACAACAACACAGAGACGATCATTCCTCTCCCTCCCTCCTCCATTTCTCACAGAGTAGCAGTTTATCTGGACTGTCCAGCTGGCACTCTGTCCTTCTACAGAGTCTCTTCTGATGCAATGATCCACCTCCACACCTTTAACACCAAATTCACTGGACTTCTGTATCCTGGATTCAGAGTCTGGAGTGGTTCGGTGACTATATGTTCAGAGGCTGCTGCAGAGTCACTCTTCTGACTGAGGAATGTCTGTTTAATCCTTACACCATTCCACTGACACACACTCGTTGTTACTAGTGCAACGATTATGATCGCTATTATCCAGCTCCACTATGTGAACGATGGGAGTTAGCGCCCATCTGAGAACAAATCTCTTTTTCTTTTTTCTTTCTTTGTCTTTTTTTGTGAATTAATACAAGCAGAGCAAAAGGATGGTCTTTTTGCCATCCTGATCAGCCACAGATTCTCATTGTACAGACTGAATGTTGTGTTGATGTGTCATGTGACCAGTCATGAGTGATGACGGACATCATTTAATACATGTGTGTAATACTGTTTGATTGTTTTACATTCATGTTTTTATCCAAAACAAATGTAAAAGAATGGTGTTGTGGAAATTATTGGATGTAGTATAAAATAAATTCAGCTAAGTTTAGCTGAATCATAAAAGCTGGAGTTGGTACCAAATTCAGAGCCAAAAGAGCCCAAAAGGAACCATGTGCAGCCTCCAAGTCTACCAGTCTACCCTGGGTTTGGCTTCTTGTTTGGTTCTTCAGTGTCACTGCACTATATAAATGTGTAAAATAAAACTTATAAAATCTGCTTAATTCTTGTGTTATCTAAACAATATTTGTAAGTAACTGGGCATTCAGCATTTAAGAAACTGTTAAAAGTGAAGATAACTGATCGAGTAGCTGAACTGAAAAATATTAGATTTTTGTGTCTGTTTTGTTCTGGAATTTATTTCATCATGTCTTGTAAATATACAATTTTTATA